GTGAGCAGAATTTAGCGTTTAAAACTCATATGAAACAACCGCTCTAATCAAAGGAGTCGTAAGAAACCAAGTAAATACCAAATTCTACAAGTATTTATGTACTCCCAGAACCACTATAATACCAGGATTAATAATACTGCTCTAAGAGCTGACTCAAAGAACCGACGTTATAAGAATGCATCCGCTCATCGGACGTTGCAGTGTCAGGATTAATGTTCCAGAGCTGCATTACTTCGGTTGGCATCCGTTCCCCCTCCCGCCCCGCACTATGCCTGTGTGCAGCCTCTTCGAAGGACCCCGAGGTAGTCGCCCATCTTCTCGCAAATACAACTCGTGGCTTCTACCGGCTGTCAGTTCAGCAAGCAACATGCCCTGTTGACTGGATTTATTCATTTTCGCCACAGGGTCGCTACAGCGTGCTACATGATGAGCGTTTGATTGCATACTTTAGTTAATATGGTCAGTGAAAGGATATTGCAAACACCAGCATTTTCTCCGTCATAACCAGTGCTTGCTGTTAGGCAAAATCTGTTTTTGTAACAATAGCACTTCTGGTAGGGGAATATCTAATAGGATGGATAAATTTTCAGAATTTTTTAAGCTTCGAAACGTTGCTCACTCTACTCGCAAAGGGTGAGAATCGGCACTTAGTAGAAGGAAAATAAATGATGCCCGAAAAGATAAGCAATGAAAGCCGTGGAATGACAGCTGTTAGTAATAGCGTAGGTAGGACAGTATGTAATAGTTAATTTTTAAAGGGCACAACAAATGTCGAAAAGTAGCTCACTAAAATATCTCGGATAACAACGAATTATAACAGAATTAAGATTGTAGCTTGAAAAGAACAGAAAGCAAATGATTTCTGAATGATGCTAAAGCAACACTGAAGGAGCAGAGAAAAAGCTGCCAGTGAGAGTTAAAGACCCAATACCATCGCTTACAGGAGATTATTCAGATTCGAAATGCCCCGAATGAAAAGAAAAGAAGCCGCCAGTTGCACTGACTGTGAGAAAAAAACGTAACATTGCAATCTATAAAAGCTAAACAGAGAAACAAAGTGCGTAACAAGAAATTACCGCGCCGCAATGGGACAATAAGGGTGTTGGTGGGAGCATTGTTCGGGACGA